GGGTATTTCTGTGTGTATATACAAGCGTGTGATATCACATGATACTTTTCAATATTTTTCTCAACCATCACAAATAAAACATATTCGCTGTTCATTATCACATTGCTGTTTGTGGGAGTTTGCTGCATGCAAATTTCCTATTATCTTTCCCATTTTACAACAGTGACATTCTGCAATTTCAAAAATAACTTCTTCATCTGTAAAGCATTTCTGGGACATCTTTGGGCAATGAAGGGTGCCATATAAATGCAAGTCCTTTATCTCTCCCTTCTCCACGTGTTAGCCGAACAGTACACACTAACAGATCACTCTGAGATTCCCTCTCCTTCAAAAAATAACATGTCCTCTTCACTGAGGATATAGGGTAGTGAGTAGAATACTAACCAATCTGAAAACAGTCACCAGAATGCTGATTGATGATTAAAGTCTCAGAGTTACTGATAGGTGCAGTCAATTCACAACAAACAGAGCAGCAACCCCTTGGACAAACCTGACAGGTTTCCTGTTTAAAAGCGTTTGATGTAGATTCCAGCATTTTTAAGATCCCTCACCTTCCAGTTGCAAGTTATTTTTCAGCTATGAGAGATTGTGAAATTTTGAAACACTTTGACAGTGGAAAGGGAGCAATGTCAAGACTTGTAGTCCAGGGTGAGGGTGAGAGGAGTGACAGAAGTGTGAGTAAACCAGGAAGCCAGATCTTATCAGTGAGCAGGGAAGAGGGTTGTGGCTGACATGGTACTTGAATTACACTCAAAGCCTTTTGAGTTGTTTAAAGTCAGACTGTATCTGGGTGACCTTATCTTTCCAATGATCTGAACCTAAACCATGGTACCATGAAACCAAGAACAAAATATGTCAAAGATGTTCAACAGTAAAGGATGGATTTATAATTTGGTTTTTTTTTACTGTAAAGCAGTCAAAATATATCCTGCATCATCTCAGGGTTTATAATGTATGAGGAGGATTGTGTTACTGCTGGTACTGTGGACTTTGTTCAGGCACTGGATCAGCTGACAGCCCTCAAATTCTACCTTAAACACCAGGAACCACCAAACCAATGGATGAATCAAAACTTCCACGCACTCGCCATTGTCCCTGGGCTCCATGAGGTGAGCAAGGACCCGGGGGATAGATCTCTCCGAACACGTATGCAGTTCCGAGAGACAGAAGTTGGACCGGTCTGGCAGAATATCTTGCGATAGGCAATTTCACAGCTAATCAATCAGATCTAAGCTCTGAAATCTTCCCAAATCCTGCTGCCAGGATCTGGGGTCCAGACCGCACAGAGATTCCCCATTCTCAACAACAGGGGAGCCCAGCACTTCAGTGCAAAAGACAAGGCTAAAGCGTAGTACTCATAGTCATCTTTCAACCAGGAGCGCCGAGTGGATGATCCAGCTTGACCTCCTCTGGAGGTCCCCCATATTACAGATGGCAGCCTTCCACAAATTCAATTCATTCCACTTGATGTTAAGAAACCCCAAAGGTACCGGATCTTCCCAGCATTCCAGCAATAGTGCTGAAGATATGTGCTCCAGAGCTAACTGGCCGAGCTGTTCCAGTACAGCAACAATACTGGCATCTACCCAACATGCAGAAAATTGCCTAGATACGGCCTGTTCACACGGAGCAGAACACATGCAATTTGGTTAATTACTGCCCCATCAGTCTCCTCTCGATCATCAGTAAAGCGATGGAAGGTGTCATTAACAATGCTATCAAGCAACACCTGCTCAGCGACACCCGGTTTGTGTTCCGCCAGGACCACTCAGCTCCTGACCTCATTACAGCCTTGGTTCAAACATGGACAAAAGAGCTGAGTTGAGAGTGGCAGCCCTTGACATCAAGGCTGCACTCGACTGAGTGTGGCATCAAGGAGCCCAAGTGAAACTGGAATCAGGAGGCAAAGTTTCTGCTGGTTGGAATCATTCTTGATGCATAGGAAGATGGTTGTGGTTCATAGAATCCCTACAGTGTGGAAACAAGCCTTTTGGCCCAACAAGCCCACACCAACCCTCAGAGTTTCCCACCCAGACCCATCCCCCTACAACCCACCTAATCTACACAACCCTGAACATTATGGACAACTTAGCATGGCCAATCCATCTAACCTGCATATCTTTGGACTGTGGGAGGAAACCGGAGCACCTGGAGGAAACCCACGCAGACACGGGGAGAATGTGCAAACTCCACACAGACAGTCGCCCAAGGCTAGAATTGAACCCAGGTCCCTGGCGCTGTGAGGCAGCAGTGCTAACCACTGAGCCACCATGCCACCCCATTGTTGTTGGAGGTCAGTCACCTCAGTCATAGGAGCTCACTACAGGAGTTCCTCAGGGTAATGACCTAGGTCCAACCATCTTCAGCTGCTTCATCAAAGACCTTGCTTCCATCATTAGGTCAGAACTGGGGATATTTGTTGATGATTGCATAATATTCAGCACCATTCTCAACTCCTCAGATACTCAGGTACAGGACAATTAGTAATGGAAAACAAATGCTGACCTTGCTAGTGATGCCCACATCCCATCAATGAATTAAAAGAAAGGAATGCCATGTATATACAGAGTGGGATATGCAAGAGGCCAGAATGAGAAGAATGCAGATTATCTTGGAGGGTTGGGGGACTGAAGGAAATCACAGAAAATTAAGCGTGAGGTCATGGTTGATGAGCATGGGCATTTTGAAGTCAAGACATTGTTTGACTCGGAGGTCAGGGAATGTGGGTCAGCAAGCAAATGGATGATCGAGGAACAGGTCTTGTTGTGAATTAAGTCATAGACATCAGAGACGAGGTCCTGTTTCCAGGAGTTAGGGAAGGTGTTGTTGGGGTGGAATATTGGAGACTAGCCACCAGTGCATTGAAATATTCAAGTCCAGATATAACGAAGACACAAATGAGAGTTTTAGCAGCAGATGGAATTGGTTCTTGGTCCTCTTTTGTTCATCATTTATGTAAATAATTTGGATGAGAAGATAGATGGCATAGTTACTAAGTTTGCACTTACCAAAATTGCTGGCATAGTAGACAGTGAAGAAGGCTTTCTAAGATTATAAAGGGATCTTGATCAAATAGGTCAATGGGCTGAAAAATGGCAAATGGAGTTCAGTCTGGATAAGTGCGAGGTATTACATTTTGTCCAACAAACAAGGGTCGGGCTTATACAATTAATGGTTGGGCCTTGGGTAGTGTTGTAGAACAGAGGGATGTAGGGTTTCAGGTACATAATTCTTTGAAGTTTGCAACGCATGTAGACAGGATGGTTAAAAAGGCATTTAGCACGCTTGCCTTCATTGCTCAGTCCTTTGAGTATAGGAGTTGGAAAGTCATGTTGATGTTGTACAGGAGATTGGTAAGGCCTCTTCTGGAATACTGTGTCCAGTTCTGGTCGCCTGGTTATAGGAAGGATATTATTGAGCTGGAGAGGGTTCGGAAGAGATTTACCAGGATGTTGCTGGGTATGGAAGGTTTGAGTTATATAAAAAGGCTGGATAGGCTGGAATTTTTTACACTCGAGCATAGGAAGTTGAGAGGCAACCTTATAAAAGTTTATAAAATACCTTATAAAATAATGGGAGATATAGATAGGGTTAATGGTATTGTCTTTTCCTTAGGATGGAGGATTTAAAGACTAGGGGGCACATTTTTAAGGTGAGAGGAGAGAGATTTTAAAAAGACATGAGGGGCAAATCTCTTACACAGGGGGTGGTTCGTGTGTGGAATGAACTTCCTGAGGAAGTGATGGATGGGGGTACAGTTACAACGTTTAAAAGACATTTGGATCAGTGCATGAACAGGAAAGGTTTTGAGGGATATGGGCAAGGAACAGGCAGGTGGGACTATGGACTAGTTTAGTTTGGAGTTATGCTCGGCATGGACACGTTGGACTGAAGGGCATGTTTCCGTGCTGTATGACTCTACGAACAGAGACTGAGCAAAGCTGGGTCATGTTGCGGAGGTGGAAACAGATTGCTTAGGGATGGTGTGAATTTGTGTTCCACCTTGGGACCAATTCCATTTCTATTGCAGTCAGTGATTAATAAGGAATTAAGAGCTGGGTGGTGGCATTCCATCAGGACTAAAGTTGCTGCAAAGATCACTTTGCAATTACTTTATGAATATTGAATAGCAATTCCAGGCACACCCAGTGCACTGCTTAAATCTGCAGCAGCTGATTTCAAGACACTACATCAAAGCTGGCATACTGGGCTGTCATGAAGAGTCATTTGCATGTCTGTGTGCTATGATTAGGTAGGAAATAGAGCAAGGACTGTTTCCACCGGCATCCCTCGGGTACAGGGTTTCTGCGCCAGTCCTGTTTCCCATTCAGCTCACACACCAACGACTGCTATAAGTAGAGCAGGCCAATACAGGAGCGTATCGGCTGCAATTAATATTTCAAGGGCTGTTCAAACATTTCTGCACGAATATTTAAGCCGTACAATTAAGATTCACTCTAGACTGTTGACCTACTAGCCATTGGGCTCCTAATGATGTTGTAATGAGGTGAAAATGTATGCAAATGAACCTGTTGGCAGGGGAATGGGCAGAGAGAAAAGCAAACCCGAAAACTTCACCGAGCTGCAAAAGTATTACTTTAAATTCTAATCAAGTCTTCCATTCTCTAGCTGAGCTTCTGCCCTTTGTTGTAATAAAGTAGTTCAAGTAGTTGAATTGTTCAATACCTCCAGCGACTTCTGACTGTCGGTGAAGGATTATTTCTGTGAGAATAAATTAATGTATCCAAAGGTAGAAGGGAGCTCATAAATCATGAGGTTCTGTAATTCAGGCGAGCTATACATGCCCTTTTCAGTCCATTTCTCTGTTGCTTTCTGGATCAACAGAAAATTTGAAAAATCATTTCTTTTTCCCTGGCAGATCAGTGCTTTGGTATTCATTACAAGCATCGCAAAGGGATGGAAGGCTGTAACCACTTTTTTTTATCGAAATGCAGTAGCAGGAGCTGATTTGACTGATATTTGCTGTCTGCTCTCTGTAGGTTCTCCCGGGATGAAGATTTATATTGATCCGTTCACTTATGAGGACCCAAATGAGGCCGTCAGGGAGTTTGCCAAGGAGATTGATGTCTCTTGTGTGAAAATTGAGGAAGTAATTGGAGCAGGTACATCTTGTTGAGTTTGCGGTGGCTTGTGCGTTGGCTCACTTTTCCTGACTGGAATCAGTTCTGACTTTTTTTGGTAATGGGGTAATTGAAGCTTCTTTTTTGGTCTGTTGCAAATCAACTCCCTCATTCTTTCCTTCCCGCCTCCACACAGGAGAATTTGGGGAAGTCTACAAGGGTCGTCTCAAGTTACCCGCGAAACGGGAAATCTATGCAGCGATTAAGACCCTGAAGGCCGGCTACTCTGAGAAGCAGCGGCGAGACTTTCTGAGTGAGGCCAGTATCATGGGTCAGTTTGACCATCCCAACATTATCCGTTTGGAAGGGGTGGTCACCAAAAGTCGTCCAGTGATGATCATTACGGAGTTCATGGAGAATGGAGCTCTGGATTCATTCCTGAGGGTAAATATTTAAACTGGCAGGAGATAACCCAGGGTCAAACAATCCTTAGTTTCTGCAGACCTTCAGTCAAAGAAAGAAACAAAAGGGAAATTATAATCAAAGCTACAGCTGTTAATGAGACTGTGTGAGGATAGAGTAATTATTATTAGTGATGTGCTGATTACGTAATTTTTACAATGACCTCTGGACTGAAGAGGATTGTTTCCAGTCACATTTAGCTTATTGGTTATTTGTGAATGAACATCATGTCTCAGGTTTATTTTGTAGTGAGAGACATTTACTGCAGACTGAGAGTGACTGGGTCTACTATATTGCACTGGTGGGGTGGTGGGGTGGAAGGTTATATCACATTGGGGTGTTTGAATCAGAACGAAGTTTTTATTATGAGCTGGGGATCATAATGGACTGGAGGAGATGATATCGGACAAGGAGGACTTGTATTGTAGGGTAAAGATTACCCTTCAAAAATAACTTCTTCCTCTGTAAGGAGGGTGATATTAAATTGGGGGGGGGCATTATATTGGATGGGAAGATTATATTGGATAGAAGAGAATTATATTGAACAGGGTACTGTATTTGATAGTGTTTTTTTATTCATTCATGGGATGTGGGCATCACTAGCTAGGCCAGCAGTAATTGCCCATCCTTAATTGTCCATTGTGCAATTGCCCAGAGGGCAATAAAGAGTCTACCACCTGCTGTGGGTCTGGAGTCACATGGAGGCCAGACCAGGTAAAGATGGTGAATTTCCTTCCCTAAACTGGATGTATTATATGGTATGGTGAGGTGGAGGTTATATCAGATAGGGGTGTTTCAATCAGACTGAAGTTTTTATTATGAGCTAGGGATTATATTGGACAAAGTGAACCAGTTTTTTTTTAGCAACACATCAACAGCTTTTAATTAAAATAATTTCACCATCTGCCATAGTGGGAATAAATCCATGTACCCCAGCACATTTGCCCGGGAATCAGGATTATGAGCCCATTGACATTACCACAACACCACTGCCTCTCCATTGGATGAGAGAATATATTGGACTGTTGGGGGAAGGTTTATTGGATGCAGGAGTGTTGTATTGAGCATGGGGGAGGAGGGGTGGGGGAAGTTAGAGTCTATTTTGGACCTGGGGTTTTTATTGGATTGGGGATTGTGTTGGACTGAAGCAGCTATATTGAGGTTTGGAGGTTTATTGGACTTGGGGTTGGGGGTGTTAGTATAGTGCTGTATTGGGATGGAGGGCAGTCATATTGGACTGGGGTGTTCATATTCGGCTGTGTCTTTTTATTGGACTTAGGGTGGGCTATATTATGTACACCAACTGTATTGATCTTTTGATCTGGGTGACATTTGCATTCACTGCCCTCTCTGTTTCCTTTGAGGGCATGCAGTGTAAACCATGAACATGATCAGAGGAGATGGGAGAGTTCTCCTGACCTCTATCAGGGATACTGGTGACTGCAATTTCTGAAGTCCAGATGTTGGCCATGTTGTTGCCAACTGAGTTGGAACCATGACGAGGATTCTGACAGGACAGATCCTGTAATGTTTAGCCATGTTCATTAGTAATCAGTGTGTTCAGTCTATTAGCTGCACTGAGATCTCACTCTGCTCTTAGCAATATTGAAGGTCAATCTTTTTAAGCATCAGTTTTTCAGATTATGGTCCAGACCCTGTTCCACATCATCAATGGATCATTGTCAGTCAGCTTTCAGTCACAGCAATCTTCATAGAACTATTGAATTCCTACAGTATAGAAGTAGGCCATTCATCCCATTGAGTCCACACTGACTCTCCGAAGAGCATCCTACCCACATCCACCTCCCCCCCACCCTCCACTGTAACCCTGCATTTCCCATGGCTAATCCACCTAGCCTGCACTTTTTGGACTGTGGGAGGAAACCAGAGCCCCCGGAGGAAACCTGCGCAGACATGGGGAGAACGTGCAAACTCCACACAGACAGTTGCCGAAGGGTGGAATCGAACTGGGTCCCTGGCATTTGTAAGATAGCAGTGTTAGCCACTGTGCTGCCCTAAGTGTAGGCTGTGGAATCCAAAGCACAAACAGATCAGCCATGATCTTGTTGAATGGTGGACCAGGCTTACGGGACTGAATGGCCTATTTCTGCTCCTATTCTATATGCGCACAAGAACTCTATTACACAGACGAAAGTTTAAAATATATAAATAAAGTAAATATTTTGAGAGGAAGTTTTTACAAGTCCCGCTGTGGTTGGTATGAGCTCAATAAAATCAATTTGAAAAACAACATGGGAATAAATAAGAAAGTAATGCTGCTGAACTGCAATACCACATTAAAGCTTGGATGATTTTAAGTATGGCAGCAGCTTGTTCGAATGTGACTTCTGTTTTACAATTGAGAGGAACTCAGTAATTCATATTCACTAGGCTAACAAGCAATTTGAGATTCTGACATCTGGAAAGTTGTGTAAAATCAAAAGTTTTGCAGAGTGTTCAGAAGAGGTTGAGAAGGGATATTTAAGCTGAGCTGCATTGGAAGCTGAGCTGCATTGGGAAGATCATTGTTCTGCAAAGTAATAGTCTGTACAGACCCAGAACATTCCAGTCTGCACCAAGGTAACAGTTGGCAGTGACAGTATTAATGTCCGTGCTTCACGATGTGAATGTGGTATTTCAGTGAATAGTGGCTGTTCTCCTGTCACCATATTCAAACTGTCCTTTGTGTGGATGCTTCTGTTTTCCAGATTCTTCTGCTATTTTTACACCAGATATTTCCCGCTTGTGTTTCAGCTTACTGCTGATGGAGAATGCTCTCTTCTTGAAAACATTTTCTCTTGTCACTTCATTACAGTCGAATTTCCTGCCTGGGTTGTAACTGAAAAGAAATGGAGACTTGAAGCTCATGAGTTTGCCCTGCTAATCCACAACAAATATTATATGTGCAAAGCTTCCAAACGGACACACACACACGGAATCCCTACAGTGTAAAAGGAGGCAATTCAACCCCTCGAGTCCACACTGACCTTCCAAAGAGCAGCATACCTACTCCATCCCTTTCACCCTGCATTCCCCATGGCTAATCCACTTGGCCTGCACACTGCGGAGCAAGTTAGCATGGCCATTCCATCTAAACTGCACATCTTTGGACTGTGGGAGGAAACCAGAACACCCAGACCTGGGGATAATATGCAAATTCCACACAGACAGTCCCCCATGGGTGGAATTGAACTCAGGTCCCTGGTGCTGTTGAGGCAGCAGTGGTAACCAATGAGCCAGCATAGCACCCCATGGTGCTGTGCACCCCCTCTCATAGACACAAAGGCACGCACACACAGCCATTGACACACCCACTGTCTTTCTCTCACACACACTCTCAAGCACACGCACTGTCTCTCACACTCATACATACAGACACACTCCCTCTCTCCTGCATTCACATTTACAAACACATGCACACAGACACTCAATCTGTCAACCCTCTCTCTCACACACACGCAAGTACTGACAAACTGACATACATATAAACATATACAGTCATGTGCACATTCTTTCCAACAAACCTGCATACATTCATCTGCATATACAGACATGCAAACAGGCACAGACACACTCTTTCATACACGCTGTAACACACACTGACCCAGACTTTTGTTCCCAAGTCATGCTGTAGGAGTAGGGAAATCTGCATCTTTTTTGAGAAACTCAACCAAATAGTGTGTTTCTTGTTCCTGGGGTGCGCGATGGAAATAAGCTGACCAGCTCTGAACAATGAGCAAAGGTAGTCACAGACGCCACTGTGTCCTGTGATTGAATGTGACATCATGGAAAATCCCCTAGCCTGTTAGAATCCTATACTGATTTAATGTCAACTCATGACAACCCAAATCAACCAATATCCACTATGGGCAGATTGCAAGAGCCGTATTGAGTTAAAATAAAATATAGGTATAAAAGGCTATTTCATAATTTATGGTAGTCTCATTCATGCTAAGGCATTTGGATAAGTACATGAGTAAAAAAGGTTTGAAGGGATATGGGTCAGGAGCAGGCAGGTGGGACTAGTTTAGTTTGGGATTATGTTCAAATGGACTGCTTGGACTGAAGGGCCTGTTTCTGTGCTGTATGACACTATGACTCTATGTAAGCTTGATTAAATCTACTAAAATACTTAATCCATTATAAATACAAACAGACTTGTGTTCTTAAGTCTAATCAAAGCACTAATTGTTCAATAAACGTTTTGAGCTACCAATCAAAGTATGGACCCAGGACTTCTTGCAGAGATAAGGTTACAATGTGGAAAACAACTAAACATAATAATGTAATGATGGATGTTAGGCATGACAAAGAGCTAATGTATTTGCTAGAACAGATGTTTTTCTGCTGTCTCTGAAAATAAAGGCCAAGAACTTCAAATAACTTTAGCTTCAGTTTTCTTTATCCTCTCGATACAGTTAGACTGATGTTTTAATTTCTGAAGGGAACAGAATTAAATAACCACAAATATGAGTTTCCTTTCTCGCATTTACACAGGCAAGTTGTGTTTCTTTTCTGTTATTTTAACGGACTGGGGATTTAAACAATGTCACAGTTTGACCATTTAATAGCTCGTATGTGCTCTTCACAAACATCCACAACTTTTCTCAAAATTGGCCTTGCTATAGTGAAAGTGAGGTCTGTTTGAACCCAGTGTTGAATTTTAATGATCCTGCAAAGTTATGGTTCCTGTCTTTGAGAATTATAATCCATCCTGCTTCCCTTTGTGGTAATTGATTATCAGTCCATCACGTAAACCAGCTTTCCATCCATTGACTCCCATCTGTACTTTCCGCTACCTCGGGAAAGCAGCTAATACAATCAAAGACCCCTCCCACCCCAGTTATACTCTCTTCCACCCTCTCCTGTCAGGCAGAAGATACAAAAGTTTGAAAATTCATACCAACAGATTCAAGAACAGCTTCCACCCCGCTGTTAAAAACCAGAGGGGCAACAGTTTTTACAGTTGTTCATGCGTGGAGTGAACTTGCCAGAGAATGTAGTGGATACAGGTACAGTTACAAAGTGTAAAAGACATTTGGATATGTACATGAGTAGGAAAGGTTTCAAGGAATATGGGCCAAACGCAAGCAGGTGAGATTAGTTTAGTTTGGGGATGTGGTCGGCATGGACTAGTTGGACTGAAGAGTCTGTTTCCATGCTGTATGACTCAATGTCCGATGTTATCAGATATTTGAATGGACCTCTCATACCTCAAAGTTGATCTTTCTCTGTACCTTTTGTAACACTGTATTCTGCATACTGTTCCATTATCCTGATGTACTTTTGCAAGGTATGGTTTGTCTGGATAGCTTGAGAAACAATACTTTTCCTGTATCTCAGTACATGTGACAGTAATAAATCAAGTCAAAACGTGGCTCCTTCCTCAAGCAAATTACTTAGCAACTAACTGCATAGTGCTCACAGCACTCGACAGAGTTAGGCTAAGGTGAGTGAAGCTGAAACAAACACAGAGAATGGAGAAGAAACTGGGCAGGTCTGGCACCATCTCAGAGTTAGCATTTAAAGTCTGGTATGACTCTTTAGACTCAAAGGGTGTGGAAAAATAGTTTTTTAAAATTGTTTTAGCAGAGTCAGAAACCCAGTGCAAAAGACAAAGGGGCTGTTAAAGGTGGAGAAAGAGATGAAGGTGTAAAGTGGGTGGTATTTTATAGGCAGTTTCCAGCCTTGAGATCTCATCATAGAGTTCTATAACTTCAGAAACCAACTGCATTATGTCTGTTCTCCATTTTTCTTACATTCTCCACCTGCTCTGTCTCCCAAATCCTTTTCCTGTTTGTAGGGAGGACCCATTCTCTCTATCTCCCACCATAATTTGCATCCACTTTACATCTCTTTTTCTTCTTCTCCAGCATAAACAACCTCTTTGTCTTTTGCACTGGGCCTCTGCCCCCATTATAAGTACATTTTTAAAAATTTCCACGACATTTCAGATATGAAGAAGAGTCATGTGGACTCTGCTTCTCTCTCCACAGGAGCTGCCAGATCTGTTGAGTTTCTCTTTCCCTGCGCCCCCCCCCCCCCCCCCACCCCCACTCCATTCTCTGTGTTTGTTTCAGTTTTCCATTGTCCATAGTAGAGTCATAGAGTCCTACAGCATGGAGACAGGCCCTTTGGCCCAAACTGGTCTGTGCTGACCAAAATATCCATCCACGTTAAGCCCATTTCCCTGCACTTGGCACATTTCCTTCAAAAATATTCATGTAGTTGTCCAAGTGCCTTTTAAATGTTGTTAATGTACCTGCCTCAACCACTTCCACTGCCAGCTCATTCCAGATGTGTACCAGCCTCTGTACAGAAAAGTTGCCCTTCAGGTTCCCATGTATTCTTTCCCCTCTTACCTTAAACTGATTCCCCCTTGTCCTTGATTCCCCACCCCTGGGAAAAAGACTTAGTGCATTCACCCTTTCCATGCCCCTCATCATCTTATACACTTCTTTAAGATCTCCCCTCAGTCTCCTACACTCTAAAACAAAGTCCTAGCTTGTCCAACCTCTCCTTATAACTCAGACCCTTGTGTCCTTGCACCATCCTTGTAAATTTCTTCTGCACTCTTTCCAGTTTAGTAACATCCTTCCTATAGCAAGGTGACCAAAAACTGAACACAATATTCCAAATGTGGCCTCACCAAGGTCCTGTACAACTGCATCATAACTTCCCAACTTCTGTACTCAATACTGTGACTGATGAAGGCCAGTGTGCCAAAAGCCTCTTCACTGCCCTGCCTGCCTGGGACTCCCCTTTCAGAGAACCGTGGAGAACTCCAAGGTCCCTCTCTTCCACTACACTCCTTAAGGCCCTACCATTCACCATGAAACACCTACCTTGATTTGACTTTCCAAAATGTAACACCTCACACTTATCTATGTCTTTGCCTTCATTTCGGTGAGTGAAGCTCATTGCTCAACTCCTGAAGGACAGTGGTGAAATGGATGGAAACAAAGTGAAGGGCTGGACAGTACTGGATAACGAATGTTCACATTTGTCACAGGAGCAGTGGTGAGAATGAGATCGGGTTAAAGGGAATTGCCTTCCAGAATTAAATAGCTTGTCTGTATGAGGTAGCAGAAGTTCCTCAGCAAAGGTTTCAGAGCATCAGGTACAGTGTTGGGAAAGATGCAGCCTTTGTTGGAAGGGGAGCTGACTGAAATTGACCATTGCATGCTTTCCCTCACACAGTTCAGACCTTCCCTTCTGATGTGCCTTCTCAAGTTGAAAACCCACTCGCTTACTGATAGGTTTATTCATTTTTCTGCAGCAAAACGATGGGCAGTTCACAGTCATCCAGCTGGTGGGAATGATGCGGGGCATTGCGGCTGGGATGAAATACCTGTCTGAGATGAACTACGTCCACCGTGACCTGGCTGCACGCAACATCCTGGTCAACAGCAACCTGGTGTGCAAGGTGTCAGACTTTGGTCTCTCACGTTACCTACAGGATGACACCTCAGACCCCACCTACACCAGCTCTCTGGTAAGTCCCAATTTCCCACTGTCTGCATTAACCGGGCTGATAGAACAGACCTCGGATTATGGTGACTTTCTCTTTTACTTCCATCAATCCTGTTCACTGGGTGAATATACTCCGCTGCATTCAGAAAAATACAAGCAAACCACACGGACAGTGTGAAAAGTGAATGAAAGAAAATAGGCAGGCAGAACATTGCCTGTGTACTTTCATTCCCCAGCTGTAGATAGCATTCACAACTGATCAAGGAAAGCAAATAGGGGACTTCTAGGCATTTTCAATGTCTTTGTTGGACATAGTGGCATGGTGTCTCAGTGTCTCAGTGGTTAGCACTGCTGCCTCACAGCACCAGAGGCCTGGGTTCGATTCCACTCTCAAGCAATTGTCTGAGCGGAGTTTGTACATTCTCCCTGTGTCTGCGTGGGTTTCTGCCAGGTGCTCCGGCTTCATCCCACAATCCAAAGATGTGCAGGCTAGGTGGATTGGCCATGCTAAATTACCCGTAGTATCCAAGGGTGTTTGGGTTAGACAAGGGGAATGAGTCAGGGTGGATGCTCTTTGGAGGGGCAGTGTGGACTGGTTGGGCTGTATGGCCTGTTTCCATACTGATTAGTTCATTATTGTATTTTGGTGCGACTGTCTGGGGGACAAGTTTTTTTTTGATCTCTGAGATCAATGTCAATGATCCCCCAAATTTCTATTCAAGAAGTTTAGGGGAGAGGGGGAGTGAGGGGAGGTTCTATTCTTCAATCAACATAACGTTAAAAAAAAATTTATCTTATCATTATGGAACCGATGTGTGCGGTTTGGTTACCATGTTTCTTACCATATGACAACTACACTTCATAGAATCATAGAAACCCTGCAGTGTGGAAGCAGGCCATTTGGCCCATTGAGCCCACACTGACCCTCCAAAGAGCATCCCACCCAATCTTGGCATTTCCCACCTAACACTGGACACAATGGGCAACTTAGCATGGCCAGCCCATCTAGCCTGCATAGGCTTTGGACTATGGGAGGAAACCCACACAGACATGGAGATGACAGCACAGTGGCTCAATGGTTAGCACTACTGCCTCACAGCGCCAGGGACCTGGGTTCAATTCCACCTTCGCCTGTCTGTGTGGAGTTTGCACATTCTCCCTGTGTCTGCGTGGTCCTCTCTGGGTGCTCTGGTTTCCTCCCACAGTCTAAAGATGTGCAGGCTAGGTGGATTGGCCATGCTAACTTGCCTGTAGTGTTCAGGGATGGGCTGGTGTGGACTTGTTGGGCCGAGGGGCCTGTTTTCACACTGTAGGGATTCTATGATCTGGTCAGAACATGCAAGCTCCACACAGACAGTTACCCAAAGGTGGACTGAACCCAGTCCCTGTTGCTATGAGGTAACAGTGTTAACTGCTGTGCCACCCATGACTTTAAAGTGCTTTGGGATGCCCTGAAGTCATGAAAGGTGTCACAAAAATGCATCATTAACCTCCCCCACTCGCTGCCGCCGAAACTTTTGTACTATACTGATATCTTGAAGTTCTTATGCACAGAAGTCTAATAATCTCCCTGAGGTGCTGACATTGTCCAAATCCAGGCAGTTTACGCAAGGGATCTTGCTTTTGTCTAATGTGTTCTGGCTTTCCATTGTGTTTTCAGCCAGCCCCTTTTATTATTAAAGATAATTTCCCAAATTATTCATTACAGGGTAATGTTTCTGATTAGACCTCAATCACTTATATTTTCAATTTTTATTTGCTGACTCTTTGCTGAAACTCATTTGGATATCAACATCTGTAAAATCTGCCATGAACCTCCACAATCAAGTGGCATTTTTGAAAATATAATTACCTTTGGGTTTTGCTGGAAAGGAAGTACTGGCAGAGTGGTATCATTGCTGGACTGTTAATCCAGAGACCCAGGTAACGTTCTGGGGACCTGGGTTCGAATCCCGCCATGGCAGATGGTAGAATTTAAATTCAATAAATATCTGGAATTAAGAGTCCAATGGTGACCATGAATCTGTTGCCCATTGTCAGGAAAAACCCATCTGCTTCACTAATGTCCTTTAGAGAAGGAAACTGCCATCCTGACCTGGTCTGGCCCACATGTGACTCCAGACCCACAGCAATGTGGTTGACTCATAACTGCCCTCTGGGCAATTAGGGATGGGCAATAAATGCTGTCAAGCCAGTGAAGCACTCATCCTGTGAATAAATAAAAAACAATCTGTGATATGTTTAAGTAATCTGGTGCAGTTTCATCAATATGAAATAGGTTTATCACAAGAAATAATTATTTTTTAATCCCCAATTGTGGGTGAAAATGACTTTGAAAAGCTGTCCAAGACAGTGGGTTTTGTTAGTGTACATTTTCAATATCCGAGATAATTCGAAATAATGTATTTCAATGTTTTTCTAAGGTGTCTATTACTATTCATCTTCCTCAATTTAAGATGCTCTTCGAAGCTCTGCCATTGGGCTGAGTGAAACAGAAACATTACAATGGTGATTCATTTAATTTGGGGGCTCTGCAGTCTTGTGGGCAAGACTGTGTCCTGTCAAAATTCTAGAGCTCCCTTCCGAACACCGTACGGAGTTATAGAGGTCTACAGCACAGAAAGCCCATCAAAACTGTATCAGTCAAAAACAACCATCTAACTATTCAAATCCTATTTACCAGCCTTGGAATCATCAGTGACCATCTAAGTACTTCTTAAATGTTGAGGGTTTCTGCCTCCATCTCCCTTACAGGCAGTGAGTTCCAACATCCCACTGGCCTCTGGGTGAGAGAATTTTTCCCGTCCAAGCCTTCTGCCCCTTACCTTGAAATAATGCCTCCAGTTATTGATCCATCCACCATCCCTTCCTATCCACCCTGTCTATGTCCCTTATTCGTAGAGTCATAGAACCCCTACAGTGTGGAAGCAGGCCATTTGGCCCATCGAGTCCACACCGACTCTCTAAAAAGCATCTCACCCAGATCCACCCCCTACCCTGTCCCTGTAACCCTGCATTTTCCATGGCTAATCCCCTCATTTTATACATCTCCACCATGGACTGAACCAGTTCAAGGTGGTGGTTCGTTGCCACCTTCACAAGGGAAGCCAGGAATGAGTGGTAAAAGTTGACCTGGCCAACAAATCCTGCTCCCCATGAATAAACAAAAAAAAGCCAAAAAGTAGAATGTAGAGGTTGCAACTACACAGAAAAGCTGAAACGGGCAGCATAGATGTGGAAGCTAGACATTAACATAGTTGTTAAGTAGAAGCTAGATAAGTACATGATGGGGAAACAAAATGAAGGATATATTGAGAAATTTTAGATGAAGGATATATTGTGAAAGGAGAGGTATATTTCTTTTCTTCAAGAAGCAGGATCATTTTATTAATGTGCAGCCAATATGCAATGCTAACCACATCATTACTCCTGAAAACACCTCTCATGCTAAAAAACATCATGCCTCATTTGTTCATCGGTGCTTTACAATCCTGTTTTTTTTGTTGTGTCTAAGCAATTGATGGGGATGGGCGATAACCTCCCCAGCTTTTATTCTGGCAGCTCTGCAGTATCCAAGCTCAGGAACAGAGAACAGGGAAAGTGCTAGCGTATTGGTAATGCTGCTGGACTAGGAATTCAGAACCCCAGGCTAACATTCTGGTGACATGTCTTTGAATACCACCATGGTAGGCAGTGAAATTTGAATTCTGTAAAAATTGCCCAGAACTAAAAGCTAGCCCAATGGTGACTGTGTAACCAGTGCTGATTGTCGTAAAGCCCCTCTCGTTCACTAAATGTGATTCAGGGAAGAAAACTGCTGGCCTTCACATGACTCTAAACTCATAACAATGTGGTTGATTCTTAACTGGAATTAGGGATTGGACAATAAATGCCAGCCTGGCCAGTCATGCCCATGCCCGATGAATTTTAGACAGGTTGAAGTGCTGGGAGCCAGTTACAGTGGATTTGGCACATACAAGTGCGCAGACTGGTAATGTTATTTTCTCCATAGTTACCAACAAATGTTCACCAGTCTTTCAGTCGAGACTTTAAAACCTCTCAGATCTGCTCAGATCCTACCATTGCTTTATGCAGACTTGTGTGTGTTTTTTTTTTGCTGTTGCACATCTGAAATTTAGTAAATTTCCAACAGAGGTTAGCTCTAAAATGGATGAATTTGTTACTCTGCGACCTCAATAATGCAGCAAGATGTCAAAAGATAAAGTCATGGATAATTCAACCAATCAAGTCAGTTACAGCTTTCAGTTAGGTCATTGCTGATGTGACCTCCCAAGTTATTGACTTGCCTTTCCTCAGTATCTCTCAATAACTTTACTGATTGATAAAAAAACTGTGAGTGACTGCTCTAAGAATTCGAATTTGCATCCATTTCCTAGTCTTTAAGTTTTATGTGGTTCTGGATCCAGGTGTAAACCATTCTGAGTTATTGAATAATCCACCTGTGTATTCAGTGCAGGGAGAAAAACTCTTTAAAAACACATTGCAATTATTTAGTGTATTTAACATATTAAAAGGAAGTTGGAGAGTTACAAATAGTGTAGCACATTGAGACTCATAAGATAACAAAAATGTTAACAAAAATCTAACTCATCAAAGAGGCCTTTTAAAGAGTATCTTAAAAGAGGTGAAGGAGGTAGAGTAAGAGAGAAATTTTTACTGCTGCCATACTTACATCATTCCACATTCAAACCTGATGTTGAAATCACAACGTCCTGAAGCAGATTTTTATTTGAAAGTATGACTTATTCAAACTCTTCAAAATTTCTTTGCTTAATGCATGCCACCAGGATGCCTCAGAGTCAGCTCGGCTTCCGGATGGAGAAACGGCAGGACTGCCATTTGTACAGGATTGGTGCAAAGGCAGATCAATCAATGGACTGATCTGTTTTGAAGGAAGATCCAGACAAATAACACACACACTGTCACAGGCACGTTCGACTCTCCACACAGACATGCACATACACTAGGTGTGTTTACCAATTGCGTCAGACAGTGATATAA